TGTCTTATTGGCAGCCAGGATGCCGGGCTCCTGGAGGGGGGCATTGATTTCGCTGATCCCGAAGGAGGATTCAGATCCCCAATATATACAAAATTATAGGCTGATTTCATTGTTAAATACTGATTACTAAATATTTACTTCTTTTATAGCAAGTAGATTAAAAAGAATGTTAAATGAGCATATACATGAAGATCAAAATGGATTTCTCCCAACCAGACAAATCAGGAACAACTTAAGAATAGTACTAGATGTCTTAGAATTTTACGAAGCCCACCCCGAAAAACAAATTGCACTTATGTTTTTAGATGCAGAGAAGGCCTTCGATAATTTAAATTGGCAATTTTTAATCCAAAGAATTTATAATATGAATTTAGGCACCAAATTTGAAAATATTATGACAACCATTTATGATACACAACAGGCTAATATTATAATAAACGGGGAATATACCCACCCAATAAAAATAGAAAAAGGAGTCAGACAGGGCTGCCCACTCTTACCCCTGCTCTTCATATTATCATTGGAAGCATTACTAATGCGAATTAGACAGACCCAGACATAAAAGGATTAAAGGTTAAGAAAAAAGAATATAAGTTGCAAGCGTTTGTGGATGATATGATTTTTTTCATTGAAAAACCAATAGAAAGAGGACAAAAATTGATGAATTAGAACAATCTGGAGCAGTAGCAGGACTTAAAATTAATAGGAAGAAAACAAAATTAATGACTAAAAATTTAACAGAAAAACAGAAAATAGAACTAGAAGAAGTTATGGGAATACAAGTGATAAAGAAAGTTAAATACTTAGGAATATGGTTGACAGCACATTGTAAGACACTTAAGGAAAATAATTATGATAAATTGATGCAACAGGTAAAGAAGGATTTAGAAACATGGGGCAAGCTGCAACTTTCATTATTAGGCAGCATTGCTGCTATTAAAATGAATATTCTTCCAAAATTCCTATATATATTTCAGACCATCCCAATCAAAGTACACAATTTTTTTTTTGAAGATCTTAATAAAATAACTGTAAAATTTATCTGGCAAGGGAAAAAAACCCAGAATAAACTTAAAGGCAATGCAGGATATGAAGAGCAGGGGAGGGCTGGCACTTCCAAATTGGGAGTTGTATTATAGTGCAGCCTCTTTAGTATGGTTGAAGGAATGGGTAGATTTAACCAATAAGAGAATATTATTCTTAGAAGGCCATGACTTGCAGAGTGGGTGGCATGCTTTTTTATGGGATGTAAGGAAAACTAGCCAGAAATATTTTCACAGATACCTAATCAGAGACTCATTATTAACTAATTGGAAGAAAATACGGAAAAAACACTATTTAAAAATACCAATTTGGATTTCAACAGTGGAGGTGATGATTCACCCAAATAATCTGGATATCACTAAAATTATTAATTTTTACGCAAGGAAATTTGAAATTGCAGCAAGAACTTCAAGAGCGGGGACTAAAAATTGATCAGTGGGCATATCTTCAAATTCAAAGTAGATATAAACAGGACAAGAAAGAATTTGGAATTAACAATAAACTCCAGCAATTAGATACAATTTTATTAGGATCTGGCAAAAAAACATTTAACAAAATTTTATAGTTATTCATTAGAAGTAGAATTAGAAGAAGAAATTGTAAAAGGGAACATGATAGCCTGGAATAGGAATATAGGACGTAGCATCACCATAACAGAATGGGAAAAGGTCTGGGGTAGAAATAATAAAATTACAAAATCAGTAGCATACAAAGAAAATGCCTATAAAATGTTTTATAGATGGCACCTTCCTCCGAGATTAGCGAAGATGCACCCCAATATGAGTCCAAATTGCTGGAAATGCAAAAAAAAAGAGGGAACTTTTTTCCATATGTGGTGGTCCTGTACAGAAGCTCAAAAATATTGGCAGAAAATTAGAAATTGGCTGGAAGAAATGACAAGAGAACAGATCGAATTCAAACCAGAGTCCTTTCTCTTTGATAAACAAATATCAAAATAAGTGAAATATATAATAATGCACATTTTGACAGTGGCCAGATTGGCTTTTGCACAATGTTGGAAGCAGCCTCATGTTCCATCAGAGAGGATGATTATTCAAAAAATTTCAAGTTGTGCAGAAATGGACAAATTAACTTTGGCATTAAAAAATAGAGACACTTCAATATACTACAACAGCTGGAACTGCTGGTACAAATGGATAGACCAAAGATAGACTTCACACTAAAAGGCAAAAGAGGATAGGATAGATCCATAGTAGTGATACACAGATATATGTAAGGATTAGGTGTGTGTATATGGCATAAAATAAGGATAAAAAAGAGGTCTTACAAACTGTTGAAGATGAGAATGTTTTTTCTTTCTATTTTCTTCTTCCTTTCTTCTTTTTCTCTCTTTCATTTATGTATGTGATGCTGGTTTGTTTTAATTGTAAAATCAATAAAATTTGTTTTTTAAAAAACAAGTGGTTTGATAGCTAGATTTTTAAATCTGTAATTGATTATTTGTTACAAGCACAGATACGAAGGAACTATCTTAGCTGAAGGTACTTTCGTTTCTTTTCTTAAGTATAATTATTGTAAATTGCTTAAACTTACTGGCTCATCATAGTGGTTATTTCCCTGAAGTTAAAAGCTTGTGCTTTTATGCTTTTATGTAGCCACTTTTTTTCCATAAAGCATCTATATAGAGCAAACTAACAAAATAAAGTATTGCCTCCATTTTTTCCTTTTCCATATTATTGTGACTTAAACTTTTCACTTGTTATTAAATCATTTATGTATCCTGAATATTTTTTTACTTAAGTCACAGGAAGTTTGAACATATGTCCATAGTTTGCTTTTATTTGACCACACAAATATTTTTGCTGATAATGCTACATATCAAACACAATGATTGTTTGGATCAACTCATTGCTAGGTTAAAAAAAATATTTAAAAAATTAATGTCCTTATATTAAACTGCAGCCTCAGGAGGTGGAACAGAACAGTGTTTTCTAAAGATAGTAGCAGGAGATGGAGCTGCAACATTGAGGCAGGAAGTTAGCAGTATGGTAAGACCAAGAGGAAGGCAAGGAGAAGAGGGCATGTAGGCTGGTAGTAGCACCCCATTATTATTATTATTATTATTATTATTATTATTATTATTATTATTATTATTATTATTATTATTATTATTATTATT